AGTATTTACTACATTGTTTCCAAAAAAGACCCAATTATGTAAAATATAAAATTTGGTCGTAATTGCATCAACTATTGCATGGGAAGGGCTAATTTGCATCGATTCTTCGCTCCATCTACCAAAGTGATTTGAAATGCCAGTTTTTGTTTGTGATATTGCTGAAGTTGATAGTACAGAGTTATTTAATGGCTTGAATACGTTTGATAAGTCAAAAGCTCGGATAATTGAACACATTAAAAATGTTTCTTCATTTATTACTGGCATAGAAATTGACTTGCTTTTTAAATGCTTCAAATAAGGCACTTCCATCAACTTTGGAATATGCTTTTCTGGAAATACAATATGCTTTTCTGATTTTCTTGTACAGTTTATATCGCTAAACTCTGTATAATTAATTAATGACTCTAAATTTATTGTTTTATCCTCGGGACCAATTAGCCTTAGGTTTGGGAGTCCATCTATTCCCCAAATTGAGCATTCGCTATATCCCTTCCCACATTCAAATGCATAGAATTTTACGCCTGTAGGAGTCAAAGATTCAGCAACTTTTTTTAAAGGATTTGAAGCCATATGGCAGTACGCACAGAATGAAGAGTAAAAAATAATTACTTTTGGTCCATGTAAATCATTTAAAACTATGTCCCTTAACTCCCCTACGGAAGATAATTCCTTAATAAATGCTGATTTTGTATAAATCCCTTCCTTTGTTTCTATTCTAAGAAGATGAGCACCCACAAACCATGTGCAAATATACCAAATAAAAAATAATAAGCAACAAAAAATATATCTTGACCACAACATTCTGCTCAATATTCCATTACTTTTGTCAATCAAGTGATTTTCTCTTTTGTATTTCCATGAAAAACGATTCATAAATAATCCTCTATTTTGCGATTAACAAGTTACCGGTATTTGTTCTTTATGGCGCGAAAATATAATTATTAATAATAAAATAACCAATAAAAAGGCCAGCTTGCATAACGTGTTTAAAATGATTATTATTTATACCGCTTTGAAAATTAATAATATTGGAAAATTGTTGAACTGCAATAATAAAGTGTATGTAAGGGATTCATCTTGCCTAACAGTAAATCCTTGATGGATGCTAAAAATCAGGTACAGAAGAGTTCTTCTTCTTCGTGCGATCAAGAAGATACGTCACCACAAAATAATACCATAAATAGTCAAAATCAATGCGATCAACAAACTTCAACTCAGAATAATGTAGATAAAGATTTGAGCCTTGAAGACATTTTATATGAAACTAATCAGCAAGCAATCTCTTACAATCGAACAAACTATGGCTTGCTAGGAATACTCAACGTAATAAGAATGACCGATTCTGATTTGAATATTCTGGCTCTGGGAACTGATTTGACTACGCTAGGGCTCAATTTGAATTCATCTGAATGTCTATATCTTAATTTTGACTCTCCCTGGAGTTCTAGCAAACCAGCTCAGCCTGAATCTGAAACAAACGAAATAATTCAGGCATTTGCAAACACTCCTAATAATGTTTCACAAATCATTGGGTTGAAGTCAACGTATGTCCAGAAATTTGCCCTAGAAACCTTGTTTTACATATTTTATAATATGCCACAGGATTTGCTTCAAGGATTTGCTGCTGTAGAACTGTGTAATAGAGGATGGTTATACTATCCTGATTCATTGCAATGGTATTCAAAGGTTCAAAATGAAGAAAAGCAGACAGCTGAGTGGCAAGTTTTTGATACCGATAAATGGTGCAAAGTCCCTATATCTGACCCTCCATCAAGTAATTTACTTTCGATAGATGAGATTCGTCCAAGCGTGGAGGAAGGAGTCAGAATCCACTCCAAATGGATACAAGAGCAAAACCAAATTTATCAAATTGTCCAACAACAAATGCAGCAACAATCGAATAGTCGTAACAAGGGTTCCGAACCACAAATTAATTCTAATATGAACAATATCAGTGATTTTAGTTCAGCATATAATCAAAGAAGTATTCAACAAACTTTTTCCCAGGCTGGGAACAACCAGACAATTAATTCAAACAATTATTCTAATTTTAGATCGTCCAATAGGCATAATTCAAGCTTTTAAGCGCACTAACTTATTAATACTTTATATATATTTAAATTGTTGGCAAAATTAAATGCTTAATTATAAGGTACTAACTACCAAATTTTTTTCTATACATTGTAATGAACTTAATATTTCAATATCACATATTAGAAAGCCGGACCTGAAGTAGTTTACTTTAATTTTAATTTTTTTTTACCTCGGATTTTTTGTTCGCTTTGTCGCTTACCTCGTACTGCATTTTTACTTTCGCGCAGTATCTCGATTTATATGTTAATAGTAAATTGAGTTAAAGAATATGGAACTTTGTGACGACTCATCTGTATTGTTTAAGATATTATTTGAAAGATGCTTTCAAGAGTATCTCTTACTATGTTGTGACCCAACTGAATCTGCAGCGAACGCTATAAATCTCGCGAATGAACTAGCTCGTAAATGTTCCACTAAAGACGAAAAGCAGCTTCTAATATTCGATTTGGAGGGATTATATATGATGATTGAGAAATATAATTTGTGTGACCGTATTTTAGGAAGCTACAAACGTCTTATAAATATTAAGAATTGTATTAATAATCTTAAAGAAATTAATTATTCCCTTGAACAATGTAAACAAGTTTTGGCTAAACATAATATGAGCGTCATTGATATAGTAGGGATTTACTCTGATTATTATATTCTTAATAAGCTGTTTCTTATTGAAGAAGGTGATGACTTCGAGATTAAAATTGATATTGCTCACTTAAAGATGTTTACGGATTGGATTGAATTGATGAGTCGTGAATATTTTGAACTAACAATTTTAAAGAATGGTATAAACAACGAACCAATTTCTAATATAATTAGTTTAGCCCAGTCAAATGTAATAGAGATGATCAGGAACAATTTCAATGTCACCTCTGAAGTTACTCAACATTTTGATGAAAAAGTAGGTAACAGAATCATAAAGCCCTTTCAAATAAGATTTATCTTAGTGTTACTACAAGGAAATATACTTGAACATGGATTTGGAGGATTTTCTGCTCTTAGAAGTACTCTGAATCTGATTTCCTTGTTCCACAACAATATTCAAGAAGTTTTAAAAAATTGGTTTATTAAACTTCCACTAGAATATTTAGAGCAGGCAGTTTCTACACTTCAGCAAATGATAAGTGTCCGATTTTATGAATTATATGACGATCATAATTATGAAAACCTTGATATTATCAGATTCCCCTTCAGGAATATTGCATCAAGTTCCATTAAATCTCTTAAACCTGCTTTTCTTAATGATTTAAGAATCTCAAGTAATTTGCTTAGAATATTGTTTGATGCAAATAAAGAAAGAGGAATAATTACAAAAAATTTTGATTTTTCTAATAATAATAGATTAGATATCTCGCTTTTCACAAATGAAGCAATTAATTCTGCCAAAGCTTTATTGCAATATGAACTCAGGCAATGGTTTTTATCCAACCCACCTTCAAACGATACTGAATTTGGTTTATTAAAAAATGCTTATCTCCTTGAGCCGTCTATTAAAGCGCAAGCACTTCAACAAGACTCCTTAATGCAGCAAAGACTAGAACTTCAATCATCAATTTCCCAAGCACTTGGATCTGTTGAATCCCTTTTCAATCCCACTCAGGCACTTATCCAACCATTTCTTGTACTAAAAGTCCATAGGGACTCAATTGTAAATGATTCCATGGAACAATTAGTAATTCAAAGTAACTTGAAAAAACAACTTAAAGTCAGCTTTGTTGGGGAAGAGGGGGTTGACGAAGGTGGAGTTCAAAAAGAATTCTTCCAATTATTGGTTCAAGAAATTTTTAACATTGACTTTGGTATGTTTATTTACTATGAAGATACCCGATTATTTTGGTTTAACATGGCATCACTTGAATCAAATGGAGAATTTGAATTGATAGGAATTGTCTTGGCATTAGCAATTTACAATGGAATTATTTTGGATGTACATTTCCCTCTTGCTGTATACAAAAAGCTACTTGGGTACAAGGTTGATATCGGCGATTTATATGAAATACAGCCTGAAGTCGCTAACTCGCTACTGTCACTATTATCAATAAAATCTGATTCTGAAATGGAACAGCTTTGTCTTACTTTTTCTGCAACTATTAATAATTTTGGAGTTATGGCTGAAGTTCCTATTGCTCCTGGGGAATTTGATCCCTCAGAACCTGTTACAATTTGTAATGTCCATAGATATGTTGAACTTTATTTAGATTGGTTTTTAAACAAGTCCATTGAAAGTCAATTCAGAGCATTCTACAACGGCTTCCAAAGCGTATGCGGAGGAAGGACTTTAGAATTATTTTCTCCAGAAGAACTAGTGTTAGTTATCTGTGGAAGCTCTGATTTTAATATTGATTCTTTAATTGAAGCATCGCAGTACCAAGATGGTTATACTAAAGATAGTACAACCGTTGTTATGTTTTGGGAAATAGTCAAAAAGCTAGACTTGAAGCTACAAAAAAAACTTCTTTTCTTTGTAACTGGTTCAGATAGAGTACCTATGAAGGGTCTGGGCGAATTGGGTTTTGTTATCGGCCGCCATGGCCCAGACTCTGATTTACTTCCTACTGCGCACACATGTTTCAATTTCTTATTAATACCAGATTACCAGAACAAGGAAAAGCTGGAAAGGCTTTTACTTATTGCGCTTGAACATTCTAAAGGATTTGGGCTAAAATAACTAAAACACTTCTGTAAATACCGAATGTTCTATTTTTTATCGCTTAAATTATAGAAAATAAATGATTAGTTTTTTAAAATATTGATAAATATTGTATTGCTTAGATATTTTTGATAAATTCAGCTATTTAAGACAATAACAATTGATGCTACTTTTTGTAAATCTTGAAAACCTACGGGATTTATAAATCTCAAAGTTTCACATATATAAAAAAAAGCCTCGTTTTTGTGCTGCAACTCACATAGACAGTGTGGCCGAGTGGTCTAAGGCGTCAGACTTGAAATCTGATGTGGTCTCCACGCGCAGGTTCAAATCCTGCCACTGTCGCTTTTTTACAAAAATCCTTAATGTCAATTCCGAAATAATAAATTTATATTTTAGTTTTTTGGATTTAAAAAAAATTTATTGTAAATGTTAGTGAGCCATTCAAGTTTACTATCGCAATTATTCGATTTTTCATTATTAATTTTTATCTGAGTTTTTTTTTCAGCATTTACTTAATACCGAAGACCAAAAATTTTTCTGAAAAAACTCAATAAATGCCAGAGAGGTTCAAAGGCATTAAAATCAATACAATATGGGCAATTTTTCGGGTACAGTTTTTAGTATTATTACTTTTTCTTAATAATTTAGCTTGTGAAAATGAAATTTTGGATGAATCGGAAAGAAATGCAGCTCTTATAAACAGTTCTTCACATACAAATCCGGATTCAATTCAAAATGAAGTAGCAAACCCAATGAATGAAATTACTCTCCTTTCAAGTTCAGGAGAAATTTCAAGCTTTAATGCTTTTGAGCTAAATGTTCAAGATCAATGTAATCAACTTTGGACATATAGGAATAAGCTGGTGCATGAAGTTTCAAATATAGTCAAATTGCATAAACAGTTTGTAATTTTTCTAAATAAAATCGATCCTAAAAAAAATACGGTTCATTTGGAAGAGATATTCAAGAAATCTTTGGATCTTTCTTTAGCCAGCAATCGTAATGAAGAAATCAACAAAAAATTTAAAGAATATCTTGGGTTGGCAGTAGATTACAGGTTCATCTCTTCAGATAAAGATGAATCAACAGTAAAAATACTTATTTCCAACAGATCCCCTTTGAAATCTTCACTAAAAGATCTTCTTATTTTAAAAAATGAATATTTAAAGTATATTAGTAATTTTGATATTTGCGTTAAAAAAAAAAAAAAAGTGATAAAAAGTGGATCTGACTCTCTAAATGCGTTGATAAACCTTTCTAAACTTTTGAATATTTCTGAAAACGCATTATATGATGAAAACATTGGCTATCTTGAACAAATTTCCTCAATTACAAACAATCTTGATTCTAATCTTAGTTTTATTAAAACATTAAAAAAACTTCAAGAAGTTTGCGATAAAGGTCTTGCTCAGGACGATCAATCAAATAAAAAAAGTAAGATTAAATGGTTAAAAAAAAACTCTAATAAAATTAACAAAACTATGAGTAGTTTTGAAGATATTTTTAAGATGAATTCAAAAAAAGTCCATAATTTGTTAAATTGTATTAACCACTTTCAAACCTCGAACTCAATTAATGATAACACTCTAGCAATGGTTAATACAATAGGAAACCAGATTGTAAATCACTCTATAAATAGAAGAAATGTCTTATCAGTTATCTCATCTAGGTATACAATTACAACATTAAATACTTATATACTGAACAATAGGTTGTTTTCTTTATGGTTATTTGTTCAAAAAAGATTAACAACCATTCAAATCGCAATTAAAGTTATGAAAGAATCCAAAGAATTGACTAATCGTATGAATTCTGTTTTTTCTATGGATGAAGCAATTGATTTACTAACAAAGTGTTCCGAAACTTTAAGAAAAACTGCATCAGATTGGAATGTTTTTTTTTCTGATAAAAATACACTAATCATTAAAAAACTACACAAAGAAACACTTGAACAGTTAAACCATTATAAATTTGAGGGTGATCGAAATACGCTTGCAATGTATATGGAATGGATTTGGCTAAATAATCATATTCAAAGTGTTATTGAGCAAGGATATGATGCATTCGAGGGAATTATTAAAGGCACTTTGAAAAGTCCGCTTACAAATTGTGCAAAAAATTTAAGCTCACTATATAAGAACCTCAAATCGGAATTTAGTGCTAAGGAAAATTTTAGTGAGAAAACTATTAAAAAAATCAACAAAGAATATAGAAGTGTATTAAATGATGTTTCAGGTCATTTATTAAAGCAAATAGATTCTCTTTTCTCTCTAAAACACTCATTTTTGTGGCCACATAATAATGCGACTTTAATTTCAGCAATATCAATGTATAATCGAACTTCAGAGTTTGTAAGCTCAATAAACTTGCCTCAAGAACAAAATTCATTCGAAAAGCCAAATTATTCTTATGAGCTGTTAAAACAACAACAAATAATTACTAATGGATTTTCTACATTATATGAAAATATTAAAACTAGATTTAATTGGGATTTAAGCTTATTCCAAACTGAATTCGGATATGTGAAAAATATTAATCTTGGATTAGATACAGAAGAAACCATTAATTTTTCTAAACTAAAGGTTTATCAAGATTCTTCTGAACAATTTGGAGAATGGTTTGAAAGCACACTTGAGTTTTTGAATTTGAAAGAAAATTTCTCAAAAGCAAAGAATATTCTTGAGCAAGCAATTCAATTCAGATTACAATTTATACAACAGTGGTCCGATATAATTGCAAAGATTATAAATAAAGTAGGGAATCCAACAGCATTAAGTATTAGTAAAATATCTGAAGAAGCCTACACATACTATTTACAATATCAAGTTTCAAAATCAAAGGAGTTTTCGAATTATTTTGAGAGTGATTTATCTATTCTGAAGTACGTAGATGTTGTGGATAATTCACTATCTGATTTAAACAGAGAAAGTTTCGTCTCAAAATTTGAAACTACAAATGCGCCCAATTTAGATGGTTCTTATCATGGCGATGATGAATTTCCATCTGTATCATCTATTAAAAGTTACTTAACGGATTTAAAAAATAGAGTTGATCATTATTGCAGTTATGAACAAAAAAGAAACAAAAATGATGAGGATTACCTCTCAATTGTCAGACAGATTTGCGATAAATTTTCCATCATTTTTTCTACTATTAATCAAAATTTAAAAGGAGTAGATTCAAAATTGCAAAGGGTTTATTCAGATTTAGAATCTCAGAAAGAAGATATTTCGAAACTTGATACAATTATTCAAGATTGCATTTCCTTAGATAATAAAGTAGGTAGAGTTAAATGCTGGATTCCAAATCAATCTATTGAATTACCACTGAGAAGGGCACTTCAAATAAGGAAGGTAATGAATAATTGGTTAAGAGAAACTATTAAAACAAAAGTACTTGTATTTTCAAATTTTATTGAAGATTGCTTGAAGTTGAACTTTAAGGGATCCTTGATTTTCCAAAACAATGAATCAAATAAAGTTGAGCAAACTCAAATTGAAAGAATTAATTCTTTCCAATTATTATTAAAGTTAATAAATGATTTAATGCCAAATATTGTCGAGGAATTAAATACATTAGAGACTATTTATTTGAAATACTATCAGAATAAGATAAATGAAATAACATCTGCATCAAAGTTACTTTTATTTAATTATTTGAAACTTAACTCCATGAAAACTACTCTAATTCATAATTATGGAAAGGCTAATTTATTTCAAAAGATTTTCAGATTTCCTAAGCTTTTACTATCCAAAGATGAAGTCCATAACATAGAAAGTTCTACATTCGCATTTGACAGTCCTGTAAATAATAACGCAACTTATGCAGCAGATTTAACTGATTACATTAAAAATAATCAGCTATCTTCAAATAATCACACTATTTTGTTAGGAAAATATCTCAAAGCACTTTCAACATTAAAACATAGAATTGAGGATATTCCACAAATAAATGATAATAACTCATCATTATTAAATGAAAATCTAAAGTCAGAAATTGAATTTGAGAAATATAGAAACATCGAGGAGAAGTCATTATTGATTCTCGGCGAGTCAGATAAATATCTCAAGCTTGCAAATATCGAGCACTTTAGATTCTACACTATTCGGAATATAACGGGCAATATAACTGATGTAATTTCAAAACTTTCGGAGGAAATTAAATTAAAAGAAGAAAAACTAGAAAAAAGAGAAGAAGAAATTGCAAATACTAATTGTTACAGACGGTGGAAATGGAAAAAAAGGGTTAAGAGGCGAAAAATGAAAAAAATTAAAGATGAAAAAATAGATAAAATGATCAAAATTAATAAATCTAACGCTAATTTGAATAATTTGAAGTTAAAAAAGAAAGAAGCTAATGGAAAACTAAAGTTATTTTTGACAAAGACAATAAACATTGAAAATTTTGATACAAGCTGCAATCCAGTAGAAGATCTTGAAAGTATATCATATGACGACAAAAGCGATTTAGAAAGCTTCCAATTTGATGATTTATACAAGTTTGATGAAAGGCCCGGAAGATACAATCCCAAAAATCAAGAAGAACAAGAGATTGAATATGATGATGATACTGGAGGTACAACTGAATATGGAAAGAAACCCAATTCGCTTATATCAAAGATAAGCACAGCTGTAGATATGGCTGTTACAATTAATAACTCAATTAGACAGTATAAGGAAATCAAAAATGAATTAGAACAAAGTGGAATCGAATTTGGACAAGAAAACTCGGGAGTAAATTTAATGGCAGGGTTTGACGTACTGAATGCATTGACCGGAGGACCTACTGAGGATTTGAGTGCAATGTTAGGTTCTATTAACGAGCAAGATCAAGTTTTTAATGAGGCCGATATTTTGGGCGAATTACAAACAGGTGAGATGCCAAATGGCGTGGAAAAGGAAGTCAATAGTAGGCCTTTCGAAGGCTTGGATATTTCATACGATGATTTTAAACGAAAGGTTGAATTCGAGCTTAAAAACTCTGATTTGAATTTTGATTTTGACGATTAATCAAATTGATTTTTTTTATTAACAAAGCTAAATTACAAAAAAAAAAAAAAAAATATGCAAAAAACTTCTAATTTAGAGAATTAAGTACTCATATAGTCAGTCAGTCATACCTGGTACTTTATTTATTGGTTTTCTACGTCTAACTTGTTTGCTTTTAGGTTTATTTGAGCTTTTCTCTGTTTCCTCGCTTCCTACACTTGTTAATGAAGCTTCAGTGTAGGATCTTTTTGATTTTTTATCTCCAACAACTTTCCAACCTCCTGAATCATTCTTATCTATTTCAAATGATAAGCCTTGTATATGTTTTGTTGACGGAACAAATTGTTCACTCTT